ATTATATATTTATATATAGAGAAATTTGATTTTCCCTTTCATGAAGGCGCGAAAGGATTAATCATACATTATTGCATTTCCTTTAAATTTATCCCTAGCAGTCCTTTTCAAACCATAATATAAACTTCCAGTCTTGCTCTTTTTATGCGCATGGCATACGATAAAATTTAATTATTTCCGAAAACACAAACGAATTGAAATAAAATGTATGTACATATCTTATTTCATTATTAATAATCAATTGTCGTTGGTATATTATAATCTGTAGACGATCGAATTTTTTTAAACACTTTTAAAATAATTTAAATATATTCACGTATCGAATTACTTCGAATATTATTCGAAATAGAAATTCTTAAAAATTTTGAAAATTTGAAAGTTTTGAATCTTTAGATAATTTTTGCATCGAAAATGTCTGAATATCTGGAACGTTTCAAATTATTAAAAATGAAAGGAAATGAGTAAAATCAATTAACAAAATAACAGAAGCGCCACTTGCTCAGAGTTAGATATTGAAGTAATACATCTAATAAATTGTAATATATACGAGGTATCTTGCCATTGTCGCATTTCTTAAAGGCGTATTTTTGAGGTAATTTAGAGATGAAAATCTGAATATAAAAATGTCGAGACTATAATAGTTTTAAAATTATTAACGATTAAACTTTATTACAGAGTTGACATTTCGTTTAAACATGATGATATGACAAATAGTAAAGAATCACGGGGGGTCCTATTAACTACATTAAGATTATAATATCAATATGCAATGATAATTTTTTATTATTAAAAAATTGTTTTTGCTTCTACAGAATGTATTGTATTTGTACATTATATACATAATTAATTATATTGGAACATATCAAAATATTAATTTCATTAGCAAGATATTAAATATGAAATGTCAGTTGTCGAGATAAATTTATAACTTATATGTTTATTTGCCTTGTTTGATAAATATTTTTGTGATAATATTGGAAGTAAATAGATTATTTTTGACACAAAAAGAATTAAATATTGAAGTAAAGTTAAACATGTCAAATTCTTATTTAACTCTAATGCACTTATATCAAATTACCGATATGTACATTTTTTTAATAATTATTCTATTAAAATGTTGAAAATAATTAAGAATATAAAAATTGATGTAGATTACATCAAAATATATGTATACATCGTTAAAATTTACGAAGCTAAATCGATATACATTATTCTCACTAATAATTAAAATAGAGAAGATCGGGGCATATGGTTCATAGGATACCATGAGTTATTGGGCGTCGGACAAAGTTACTAACCTACTCACCGAATGATTGAATGTGATTGGTTGGATCTAGAAGTAATAACCAATCATATTCATTTGCTTGGCAAGCAGGTTAACCACTTATCGACTTGAACGCCCATTGACTGTTCAGAGTAATTGGAGAATTTAGGTTAGTACGTACTAATACCGTACTAATACGTACTAATATGATTGTTACCTGGTTGCACATACTATAATGTATATGGCGGTCCACTTCTGTCTTATCTTTGCATACATGCCGTTAAATATTTTCGTGCAAAAAGAATAAATATTTTATCTCACTCAGGATTATTCGAACGTTGTCTATTATGGTCCTCGCTTTGCATGGCTATCTCACATTAAAATATGGGTTAGATTTTTTGGGAGGGGGGGAGATTTTCATCATCCCTCCCCCGTCCTCCTTGCAGGGAGGCAGCATATAATGCCCCCATGCATATACTTTAAGCCCATTCTACAATGGGTAGTAGCAGTAGTGACAGTAGTGGATTAAGGAGTAGTCGTAGAAATCAAACATCATAATCGAATGTAAGAAGGATAATCAATTATGATTAGTCAATTTCTATGCCTACTTTTTAATCCACTACTGCTATTGTAGAATGGGCTTTACAATGCGAAGCGAAAGGGAAAGTGTAAGGTTTTTAATATTATATATAGCAGAAATAAGACGTTATTTTTTAAACTTTTTTTGTTTATAATTTTTTAAAAAGCAACGAACGACAGCTAAAACCTGGAGGTCACTCAGGATCTTGATAGTGTATGTTAATCGACAATGTAAGTTACTCGATAAAGTGTCCGTCATTGTAAATAATTATCCTGGCTTCTTTAGAGAAAAATGCGACACACGATTTATGACCTTCATGCATTGCCTGTCATTTTAGTCGGCATATATCTTTGCTATTTATCTTTTACATTGAGTATTAACAATTTTAAAGGTTTTCTTATTTTGAAATATACACTATGCAATTGACGCTATACATAACAAAGAACGAGATTCAAGCAGTTCTAACGGTTTTCTACTTTCTCTCTTCTAAACTATATAAGTAGTATAGGGTAACTACGCCGGATATTTACGTCGCGTGAGGATTTATGAGGACGCCGCAGAAGTCAGAAAAATAGGAGTGTAGTAATGTGCATACATTGTTATATGCCTTTAATATTATTATTAATATTGTGGATTAGGTAATAACTAGTTGAAACGTTAAAAGTTAAAAAGTTAAAAAAAAAGTTAAAAAGTTAATAACTTTTAACTTAACTTAGTTAACTTAGTAATTTTAAATGCAATAACTTTTAACTTAATTTAATTACTTTTAAACTTTAATTTATTAACTTTTTTTAAATTGAAAATTTTTCTGTCTTTCTTAATGCTAATATTTTTTTTTCTATAAAGTCTTAAATATTAGAGAATTAATTTAGAAAAAGTTCAATGATTTTATGATGAGAGACTCTATAATAAGAGTCACACCATATGGTAAGTTTTTATTGACTCGCTAGATTTTGTCAATTCCCGCTTATATTTGAATCACACTAATTTTAGATATCACAAATGTTATATTTCAGCAACATAAATATGAAATGAACCTTAAATGAAGAATTGTTGTAGAACAGAGTTGCATATTCATCCATTTTCTAAATTTTTATAACAAAGTCTAGTAAATGTAATCGTAAACATGCATAAAGTCATTTCAGAAATTAAAGAAAGTTAGATGAAAGTTAAAGAAAGAGAAATAATGCAAACATATATTCTTTCCTTCTCTCTCGCAAGATTTTGACAAAAAAAAATTTTATGGTGTGATTCTTATTTTAAATAAATAACTTAGATGTGGATATAAAATTAAATTTGCCTAATAATCTATTTGTAAGAGTTATTTAAAGTAATTTCATTTTAAGAAAAATTAGGACATTTTGGTCTCAAAAATAATTTTTTTCAAAATTAACTTTTTTTTAAACTTAAATGAATTTAATCTTAACTTTTATTAAGTTAATTCTTTATTCCTTCAACTTTTAAATTAATTTTATTGATTTTATAAGCCATTAACTTAATTTAGTTTAAAAAAAACATTAACTTACCCAACTCTGGTATTGTGTTATGATTTCCTACTGTTAATAGTTACAGTCAGTTGAATCGATTTGTCAATGTAGTGAATAGTGCAATCATATATCATAATCCACATAGAATGATTATTATAAAGATTGCAAAAAGCTTAATGTTTATTTACATAAATGTAAAGGAATAGTAAAGAAGGAATGTAAAGCGCCGGGTGGCTCGTTACTCAGTCCGCAGATTAGCAATTCGTGGATCCGGGTTCGATCCTATCCGCGTCATACATACGCAGAAAATTTACTTAAAAGGAACTTACTCCATTTGTATGATTAAAAGTTGTATCTGAGATGTCTGAGAGTACTATCTACTCCTGTAGAATGTATTATATGTTAGACGTAAAAAAGAGAATGATTGAGATATAAAGATAAGATGTTAAGCCGAATAGGCTAGTTCCTAAGGGCTTAAAAAAACAATTTAAAAACAACTTAAAAAAAAAAGAATGGAGTATAATACTTGTATAACCAAATACAAGTGCTTAATTCTTGTATTCTTTGTACAGTTTATCTTGTATAGCAATGTAAGAGTTTTAAAAAGCTTTTTTTAATACGAAAAATAAAAAATATTTCGGATTTCTAATATTTTTTTGTAATAGTAGACAGTACAAAGTTTATTGGTATAGTTCATTTCTTAAACATA